CGCGCCACTCGGCTGGCCCAGTTATGGGGAAATTTTCAATTTAGTTATCTACAGATGATTTCCTCTCTTCCATTTTCTCTCTTTCTTTTCCTTTTCTGGAACTCTGTTATTTGAATGTTATCCTTCCTAAATTGATCATCATTTAGTTGTCCTATCTTTTTTCCTCCCATATTTTATCCTAGTTTTTAAAAAACATTTTAATAAAAAACTTTGGTTTTAGTAAAAAAATTAAAAACTAAGGTGACATTTCTGGGCTGTTTCCTCAACTATGTTTTCCAGCATTCCTATTTATTGTAATTTTTGCCCTCACATTTTTAACTTCCAATATCATTTTGCTTGCTGACTACCCCCTTTTCATAACTTCCTCTTATTTCTCAGATGCAGTATCTTCTCTGATGAGGGAAGCGAGTGTTATAATTGTAGTTTTCTTCTGTTACTTGTATTGCCTCTCTTCTTAGAGTTCTTTTTTTTTTCTGTTAGTTTGGTTTGGGTTTCTGCCTTTTTATATTTAAGAGGAGCCACTTAAATGTGGATTGGACACTCTGTGCCCAGCTGGTTAACTCTCTAGGGTAAGCAGGTGCAACTATGACATTGTCATTGCGTATAATTCTTTTGTCTCCTGCCGGGAGGCTATATTCCTAGATACTTGTATTCTTGGAACTGAACAGTATAGAATGCTGGGAGGTCCATTCACTAGGGTAACCTCTTCTTAATAACCCAGCTGTGCGTAGTGTCCCCAGGTAGAGAACTTTCAGAGAATAAACCTGAGGTCTTCCAGGGTTGAGGATGAATTGGGTGGGGGAAGGGGTTCAGGAGGTCTTTCCATTCCTTTTAACACTTTCACCAGTGCTTCTGTTTTAGCTCCACGATCACCATCAGAGTAACTTGGGCTTATAGTTTGGCAATATTTCAGGGGTTTGGTGGCAGGAATAGTCTTGTTTCTTGTCTGTTCCTTATGTTTCAGTTTTCTCCAGGTTACTAATTCAGTTTTCTCCAGGTTACTAATTCAGTTATTACATGTTCTCTGAACTTCTACCATTTGAGAGATGTCAACATCTCTCATGATATAAACATGTTAATGGTCCTGGTATCCTGACTTTCCAAGTCTTTAGCTTTAAATTTAAGCTTCACGGTTATTCTACTTCACGCTTCATCAACCTCAACTATTCTTCAAAATGTTCTATTTGACTTTACCTACAAAAACTAATCTTAGATCTCCTATCAAAACCTCTATGCCTGACACCTCACCTACGTACTTCTAGACCATTAGCTCTAAAACTACCCTACATTACCCAGCTCATCCTGGACTCTGGTCAGTCATTTAAATTTGACCTTCTAAACCACATGTGAACAAATGTTATTTTCTGTTGCAATATTAAAATACCTAGAGACAACTAAGAGTAATGCTTTTGTGTATGCCCCTCAGTGCTATGGCTCAGTAACTCCCAAGTTCACTTAATAAGCAAGTAAGTAGGAACTAAAAAGGTAGGCAATAGAGCGAAGTGAGACTGGCTAGCTTTCCACGTCTGTCACTTACTATGTGATATCTGCTCCATACCTAACCCCTGTGCATCAGTTTCTATTAATAACAACAACAATAATGCTGACTTTAGAACTCTGATATGAAGATTAAGTGAGATAATATATGTTAAGTGCTTGGGCTAGTACCTGGCTTGTAATTCTCAAATATTAAATGCTTCTAGTAAAAATAGTATTTTAGGTCACATATGTTTTATTACTTGATTTGACCTTTACGGATTTTGAAAACACAACTATAATAAGCTATCTATGTAGCTGAGTAAGCTTTTGAGTTTTTAATCAGATTGTTTTTAAGCCATTTCTTTTAGCTTTGGTCAGATTTATATTCAACCAGAGACCCAGCTACTACAGTGAACTAGACATGGTCCTCCCAACTTACAGCCAAGTGGTGTATAAAGACAAGTCAATGGGAAGCTGTAAACAGTGTGATAAAAATATGGGGAAGTATTAGAGTACTGTGGAAATATATAGAACTTCTTTACATGGAAATAGTGGCATTTAGGCTTAGACCTTAAGTAGGAGTTAACTTGAAAAAGGGAAAAGTGGGAAGGCCCAAAGCAAAAGCTGTCTGTGAAGACCCAGAGGTGAAAGAGAGCATGACTCTGAAAACAGATTAGAGAGGCAGCACTGGCAAGCGAGTTCACATATGGTAAGGGGAGTGCAGTAAAAGATAATCAGAAAGAGGCAAGTGGGATGCAGCTCCAAGTGTCCTTGAAAGCCTGTTAACAACTGAATACTCTGCTAAAAGCAGAGGGAGCAATGAATGGGGAAATGCTGTAATCAGATTTATAGCCGAGAATGAACACTTTGGCTATAATATGAATGAAGAAGGGCTTAGAGAGAGGCAAGAATCGCAAGGAGACTAGTTCCAACTATGAAGGAATCCAGCAAATAGAAAATGATGAGCATGTATTAAAAAAGTGGTAATGTGAATGGAGGGATGTAGACATTCTAAATATTTTGAGTAAGGCCTTCAAACCTAATTTTTTTTAATCCTTGAAACAAATGATGTTATACTATGTTCTGTGCTCTGCTGGCTTTGGCTCCCTGGCCATGGTTTGTTGACCCCTGCGCTAGGCTCCCTGCTGTTCTAGCCTTGCTGCTAGTCTTTCTCAATGCAGCAGCTAGAAAGATCCTGTTAAAACACAGTTCATATCTTGTTACTTCTCTACTCTGAATCCCCATTGGCTTCCTATCTGACTTGGAGTAAAAGCCATGGCTTTTCATACCATGGCTGACGGGGCCCTTTATGATTTATCCCCTGTATTGGTTAGAACAGGCTAACTGATATAATAGACAACACCAAATTTGCAATGGCTTAGTGCAGTAGAAAAGTCCATTTGGCAGGGAGGCGAGGCACTGTCAAATAGTCACTCAAGGATACAAGCTGACAGAAGCTTCCTTGTTTTCACTGTATATTCTCAAGGTCTCTATGGGCCTTGACATCCAGCCTCCCGACAGGATACTTAAGCCTGTGATGGGCTGGATGCTCTAAGACCTGAGGAAATAGATATTTTAGCATACTTATAAATCAGGCTTCCCAGTTAGGAAACTGATTTGATGTGTTTTTTTTGTGTGTGTTTTTTTGTTTGTTTGTTTGTTTTTTAGAGATTTTTATTGGGTAATTAGGGGGATGGGAACAGTGCTGGGGAATTGAGGGAAGGGGAACAGACAAGTTGCTGTCGTTTTTTTTGTTGTTGTTGTTGTTCTTCAGTCTAGTTGTGGAGGACGCTGCTTCATTGGCCCAAGTTGGTACCATCATTGCGCTCTTCCTTGGCGAGGCATTATCAGTCGCCGGCTTCTGGACGGCCGCTCACTGCGGCTGCTGGCTGCTCACGCTGGCTGCTGGCTACACACGGTAGCCCATGGCAACCCACTGC